GGCCAGGATAGCTGGCAAATGATGTAAACACGTTGGCAAGCACTTTTCTGCTTCTTCGGTATCCTTGGTTGAATCCCATGTGGCCCTGCAGATTTGTGAGTGTCCAGGAGGAGTGGCAGGTTGCTAACTGTTTCCTCCTGAATTGTTTTTGGGTTTTTTTTTTTGCTCCCCATTGCTGTCTTCCAGTTCAGGCGGTTGAGTACCCTGAGGATAACTGTCCTGACAAAGACAGAAGCAGAGAATTCAAGACAGAAACATGGAAGGCTGTAGTCGATGATGTCATATGTAGAGCAATGTTTGCTTTCTCTCCCACTAAAACCTCTTAATCAGAGCTGTTACATCATGGAAACAATTTTAGGTCCAGTTAACCCTACTGAAGAAGGTCACCACTGTTGCCAGATTGCCTTGTGTTTGCACTAATCTTTTGTTGGTGTCCTTAGGACTCTTTCAAGTCATTAACACATGGGTTATAGACAACTGTACTACATTTAAATGACCATGTGCATGCAGACATATACCTGAATAGAGGTTACAAACAGGAATTACAGTTGATTTCTGTCCTTCAGATGGTCTAGTTTCTTAATTTTTTTTCTAACTTCTGTTTCAGATAACTACAATTGACCAATGATGCGGTGATGTAAGAGGTGCCCCCTACAACACCTATGATATTTTTCCTTCTATTCCTGCTTGAATGATGTCATTGCCTTACAATTTTTTTTTCTAAATCTATTTTTTTTTAATTAAACAAGAAGAATGGCAATCTGAGTATCACAAAACAAAATATACCTACTGTGTTTTATATGAAAATTTTTATTTTGCAGTTTGCAGCTGCAGCAGAAAATGTTCTAAGAGGTTTTTTTTGTTTGTTTGTTTATTCATTTCTGCATTCCTGAAAATACCGTGATCTGACTTTCACTGATCTTATGCAAACATGCTTGTTTTGTCAGGAGTTAAAAGCTGTCCATATGCCTATTGCCTTCTATCTGAAGTCTGGCTGAGCAGTGAACTGCGCAAGAAAAAACAATATATTGAAATATCTGTTTCACAGCCATGAACATCTGTCTCCTCTTCAAAAGTAACACAGTGTAATCTGGATATATATTCCCAGAGTGGAACTTTGGTAATTCAGATTAGAAGCAATTCTTGATGTTTTAAGGAGCCTGTTTATTACAAAAACAATTACACAACCCACCAGCACAGTACACAGAAAGGGAGAAGTAGAAGTTTATTTAGCAGGAAACCTCCTGGCAGATGCTAGCACAACTGGGGCAGCTAAATTGGCTTGTATCAATAACTCTTTCAGCCAGCTTGTAAAAATCCTTCTGGGCCTAAGCCCCTGCATATTCACACTTACTAACTGATATTTCATGTGTGGCTTAAGAATGCTGGCATACTCTTTATCCCCAAAGCTTTTTTATCATTCATAATTGCTCTTGATCGCCTTTTCTCCTAGATAGGAAATTTCTAGATCTGAAAACATCTGTGTTTTCAGTCCTGTTTCCCAAGTGAGTGACTTTTGACCAGTGCACTACACCATCATTTCTTTCTTTGGGCTGAGTTGCTAGACATCAGCATTGATACATCTGCAGGTTTAAATATAAGAACTGTGAGTTTAATATTTTTGCACACTGACAGGAAGGCCTCTTACTTTTGTTATGCATCCTTTGGTCACGACCTCCATATCCCATTCACACAGAGGCAGATCGCTACCTTAATTTCCAGTATGGTTACATTCAAATTGTTGCATTGCCTTTGGATGCTTTATTTCACAGCCATTTTCTGTGAGCTTTATAGCCAGATAGAAAGCTTTGCTCTACACTTTATTATTATTTTTTTATTCTAAAAATTCTATTTTTCACTTTAAATTCTAATACTGAAGAATTGATGTAAATATAGTTCATGTATTTTTGAAAACCCTGTATTGTTTTCAGAGCATGCATCCTATAGTCAGTACATTTAAAAGAAACCTGTCTTGCGTCAGCAATTAAAAATAAGAATTTATATATATATATTTATTCCCATTTAAAGTACACCATTTGTTTCAGCCCTGATATATTCATCATGATAAATATTTTGCAATTAATACAGTAAAAATTTATTACAGAGGAGACCAAATCTTGCTTAGTTATAAGTGCAAATAGCCTATTAGTCTTAAGTGCAATTTTAAAGCTGCTGCTGAGAAGAAACTTGAACTGTACATAATTTTCTGCAAGATAATTTTCCACTGTTAAGAAGTGTAAAATAGCAATTTGTTTCCTGAACATTAATAAAAAGGTACTGGATAAAAGTTCCTTGGAATCTCTATTCATCCTTAAACTACCCTTTTGTTTGGTAATGATGTTTGCCAGTGGTGCCTTTAAACATATAAAATCTGGTGGGGCTTCCTTGCTGCCCTAAAGCAAAACATCTCATTTAGCACGGCTTCAGTTATGTCACTGTAGTGATTTATTTATTTTAATTATTTATATTATTTCACATTTCATTTTAAAAATAAGCAGGATATTATTTCCATGAATTTGCAACCATAATCATCCAGCCAGTGGAAGGTAAATTACTAAATGTTACTTTTCCTCTGCTTGATGTTTTTTTTTTCAAGATGCCAATTTCAACCTCAGATATTCTATATTACCTAAACACTTAGTATGAAGAGCAGGAAAAATCCTGTCCCAAGACAACTCGTCCCAGGATTACAAATGTTACTCTGTGAATACATTAAATAGCTGCCATTTTTTTTCTATCTCAAAGACTCAAACAAGTCCTTGGTTTCAAGGAAATCACAAAGCTGAGGCAAGCAGAAGCGCAGGAAGTTCGAACACACCAAGAGAAGCAAGTATTTAGGATTTTTTTCTTTCTCTCTTGAACATGATTAAGGATTGGAGGGCTGAACTTGCTTCTTTCTACAGTCTCTGTGTGAGCTCCAGCAGGCTTTGCCAACTCAGTAGCTCTAAGACAAATGTGGGAGGAAGTGGAGGAAGAAGAAAAGCCATCAGTACCGTGCAAGTAGACACAGCAAAGAAAAAGAGTGAGACAGGGCTGCACGGGGACACAAGTTTATTCTATGGAAGGCGAAGAAGAGTAAACAGCAGCTACAAAAATAAGGAGCAAAAGGATCTGATAGGAAAGAAGAATAAGAGTGACCATAGTAAAGTCTAACATATTTTCAGTAGTGCTTAGATGTGATGTGATTCAAACAAAACCTGAGAAGCTTAAGCAGACATAAACATAGGCAAGAAGATTCAGTTTAAAAATCAAGTAAATAATTGCCGTTCAGAAAAAAGTACGTAGAAGATGAAATAGCAGAATGAATGCAACACTTGTGGGCTATTTTCTCTGAGCAGCACTGCTGTATTAATGGCTGCCAGGATAACTCAAATTCAAAACCTTTCATTCTCAATACAATATCACAGAATCACAGAATCACAGAATGGCCTGCGTTGGAAAGGACCTCAAGGATCATAAATCTCCAACCCCTTGTCACATGCAGGGCCACCAACCTCCACATTTAATACCAGACCAGGCTGCCCAGGGCCCCATCCAACCTGGCCTTGAACACCTCCAGGGATGGACGGGGCATCCACAACCTCTCTGGGCAGCTGTTCCAGCACCTCACCACTCATAGTAAAGAACTTCCCCCTGACATCCAACCTAAATCTTCCCTCTCTCAACTTCAAACCATTTCCCCTTGTCCTGCAGTTATCAACGCTTTCAAAGAGTTGATTCCCCTCCTGTTTGTAAGCTCCCTTTGGGTACTGAAAGGCTGCAATGAGGTCACCCCACAGCCTTATTTTTCCAGGCTGAACAAGCCCAGCTCCCTCAGCCTGTCTTCATAAGACAGGCTCCTGATCATCTTTGTGGCTCTCCTTTGGACCCTCTCCAACAGCTGGTGAATGGATTTAAAGGCAGCTGGCAACTCTGGTCATGAGTTGTGTTCCCCAGGGGTTGGTGTTGGAGCCTGTCCTGTTCAATATTTTTGTTGACCTGGATGACAAGATTGAGTGCATTCTCAGTAAGTTTGCAGATGACAGCAAGTTGGGAGAAAATGATGAACTGCCCAGAACTAGGAAGGCCTTACAGAGGTATCTGGACAAACTGGATAAGTGGACCTAAGCCATTGGGTGAAGTGCTTGCTTCAGCAGCACCTTTACTAAAATTGGAACAATACAGAGAAGATTAGCATGGCCCCTGTGCAGGGATAACATGCAAATCTGTGACACATTCTATATTTTTTGAGGAAGTTTTTCCCCCAGAGGGTGGTGAGGCACTGGCACAGGTTGCCCAAGGAGGTTGTGGATGCCCCATCCCTGGAGGCATTCAAGGCCAGGCTGGATGTGGCTCTGTGCAGCCTGGTCTGGTGACCTTGCACATAGCAGGGGGGTCAAAACTAGATGATGCTTATGATCCTTTTCAACACAGGCCATTCCATGATGCTATGATTATAAGTTCAACAAGATCAAATGCCGAGTCCTGCACTTTGGCCACAGCAGCCCCAAGCAACTGTGGGCTACAGAGTTGGGCCGGAGAGGCAGGAAGACTGTGGAAGAAATGGACCTGGGGGTGTTGTTTGACGCTAAGAGCAACATAAGCCAGCAGCGTGCCCAGGTGGCCAGGAAGGCCAACGGCATCCTGGCTTGTGTAAGAAATAGTGTTGCCAGCAGGAGCAGGGAAATGATCAGTGGAGAGGCTACACCTCAAGTACTATGCTCAGTTTTGGGTCACTTGTTACAAGAAAGACACTGAGACCCTGAAGCATGTCCAGAGGAAGGTAAGAAAGCTGGTGAAGAGTTTGGAGCACAGGTTTTCTGAGGAATGGCTGAAAGAACTAGGATTGTTTTGTGTGGAGAAGAGGAGGCTCAGGGGAGACGTTATTGCTCTCTACAACTGTCTGAAGGGGGGGGTGCAGCAAGGCTGGGGTAAGCCTCATCTCCCAGGTAACTAGTGATAGGATGAGAGGGAATGGCTTCAAGTTACACAAGGGGAGATTCAGCTTGGATGTTAGGAAAAATTTCTTCTCCGAAAGACTGGTCAGGTATTGGAATGGGGTACCCAGGGAGACACCATTTCTGGAGGTTCAAGAACCATTTAGATGTACTGAGACATGATTCAGTGTGGAAGTATTGGTGATAGATGGACAGTTGGACTGGATGATCCTGGAGGTCTTTTTCAGCATTGATGATTCTATGATTCTGTATGCTCCCGGCTGTGCTTTTTACCATCTCTGAGGGCTGGATTAAGCTTATCATTTTTTCTGTATGATGTAACGCTCTTTGAGAAACTAATTTGGTATCTGTAGTTGGTATTGCAGTCATCACTGTACTTTGGGAACTGTATCTTGGAAACTATTAATGATTTCACTCTTTGTCTCCTTGGGGAGCCACGCTATGTGGGAGAAAAACGTGAAATGTTCAAACCAACATGTTCCTATTACTATGCCCGCATAACGTGCTTCGGGTTTTGTTTAAGGTTAAACAACCTATTTCTAAATATCCTTCAGGGATCTTCCCTGAGGTCAAATAGTTATGAGTGGCCAAGAGTGTGGGGTGGTATAGGCAGGTACCACGAACAGTGAGCCATTGTTTCAGAACTTCACTTCTAAACAACTGCAAAATCCTGAAAAACTCATGACATATTTGGAAAAGTTGTGCTGTCACCCCGGCAATGCTAGAGAGGGACAAATCACTGCAGCATGTTGGGGTTTGGCCCATGCCTACAGAGGCCTGTTCAACACTAATCAGCACTCTCAAGGGAAAGAGATCTTTGGATTTGATGACGGTGCAGTAGGCCCTGCAATTGCTCCAACCACTGCTACAGGCCTTGCAGTTTAATCAGAGAACCAATCTGTGCCAGTATCAGTCACACCTGTACTCAAGTGCTGGAATAATGAAGCCAGTAACCTGGACTTAGTGGGAAGTGAAGTCAGGCAACAGGGATCTCTTTCTAGGGAAAGAGGGCATTGACAAAGCAATTGGAAAAGGGACACCAACCTTCACCCTATAAAGATGATTCTTGTAAGCCATGAAAGAAAGGTGTCCCATCAAGGAAGATCTGACATGTCAGACAGGCAAGTGGAATATCATGAAGAAAGGTATTCAGTAACTGAGGAAATTGGATGTGATGTACAAAATCGACTTGGATGTGAATAATGACCTGTTATCCCAAGATTCAGATGACGTCAGATGCTCACAGTCTTTGTGAATGAAATTTGTACAGGGTGCACCATCATTGTGTGCCAACACACTGATGGCAATGGTCTGGAAAGATAATGAAAAACGGTGGATGAAGTGACTAGCCTACTTCTACAATAGGCAGAAAATCTCTTTTCCTTCCTACAGGCCTGTGCCTCAGTGGAGAAATTGTCCTGGTAGTCCCAGGAATTCAAAGACAATGTGCCCTACTCTCCATCCGGGTGGACCAATGTCTCAAGTATTAGAATTAAGTATTCCTCTGTCCGAGAAAGAATATTCAGTGGGTACACACCATGTGTCACCCTTTGGTTTTACCTACATGACCACGGAGAGGACATGGGGAATTGGGATGGAAAACCAACCTCAGTCCTAGAGGCACGGTTATGTCAATTGTAAGGAAGAACAATTGAAAAAGGGGGTTCTTCCAATAAAATGGCCACTACCGTTTCCGATGGACAGTCTCTCAGATGGAGAAGATGGTCTGATTCTATTTCTGAGGTTGATGATGAGAGTAGGAATTTGCCGCTAATTGACTCTGCTGGGTCAGGAGAGAAAGGGTGGCAAGGATAGAAGCAAGGAAAAATCCTATCTGGCAAAGATCTGCATCAGCAGGCCATAGGCTGCTTTTGTGGTTTAGATCTGTGTGACGACCAGATGGTCAAATCTACCACTTGCTTTTGACTCTGATACAGCAATACTTACTGCCATAGCTAAGCCTCACCTCAGGCCTACAAGACAGCAAGTCTCTCAGTAGTTCCAGAACACAAGCACATTGCTGTGGGCTGTGGTGCAGTGGTGATACGGTTTGAGGAGTCTGCATTCTCATGATCTGCTGTCTTTTTTTCCTGTGATATCCTGTTAAGATGCAATTACAGAGGTAAGAGCATGGGAACGTATATATGTTCTAAAAGAAAGCCGCATCCTTGAAGTTATGATATTGCCACCTGAAATACTTCTCTTTGGAATGGAAGGAAAGAAGGTTGTATCTTAGTTATCTCTCAAAGTAACCTGGAATCCAAAATGCAAGTAGCTATCCCTAGGGTCCCCTCATGATTCCTGATACTGGTGCTGTAGCCAAAGCACTTCCTCCTTCCAAATGTTACAATAAGTCTGCATCTTTCAATTTACATTTTCACACATTCACATTTCAGGAGGCGTGAGACAAATACGTAGACCTAAGGCTGAGTCCCTTGCACTGAATGTCTACAGAAAAATCCCAAACCATGGGCTTTACTTCAGCTCAAGCTGCTGCAAAGTCCAGTGAGTTTGTAGGACATTTGTTTTCCAGCACACCCACCCTTCCTGTGAGAACTCAGAGGTACAGTACTTTACCAGTTTTAACCATCGTGGCCTCTCCCAATCAAGATAGTTTTATCATTAAAATTTCTTCACATCGTGGGACATCTGTGTGACTTCCAAGTGCAGAAATTACTTTTGAGAATGGAGTACAGCCCTTTGCATCTTTGACCAAATTCTGACAGCTAAGGTCCAGCACTGTGCAAGAACAAGCTAGATTTTTTGTTACATAAAATAAAAGCTGCCATACTTTTTATTTAACTAGGGTATCAGTTCAATTCCTAAGAGTAGTTGTAATAGAATCAAGTTACATTGTCAGTATGATAAAAGGTATCACATCATTACTTTGTCCTTTTTACCTTATTCATTCACAGATTGAAGTTTCCTGGATTTCTGTCAAAAGAATTGGTCTTTTAAGAATAGAAAAGACCAATGTCATCTTTATACAGTTTGGGAATTCATCTCGAGTAGACCAGAGATTAACAATATCAGTGATAATTGAGTCAAAGGCGTCTGTGGAGTACACTAACAACAAAATAGACCAAGGAACAAAAGGCAGGTAATTCAACAGCACACAACTACTGAATAATCATTTTAACCTTACTAAGGGTCAGGATGGTGAATAAAATAAATAAAAAATGAATGCATTTAAAGAAAGGTGGAGGGGAGGAACAACAACATACAAAGAGGGAACCGGGCAATTGTGAAGAAATATGTGTACGAAACGGAAAATGTACAGCTGTTAACAGGATAGAAAAATCAATTTTACACCATATAAAGAGGTACATTTACATCATTATGATTATGTTGGGAAAGGATTAGAATTTCACTTTCTTCAAAGCATTATTGCAATGTGTCATATGATTCTTCCTTATCTGATGATCATGATGATGCCTAAAGAATAGCACCTCTCAAGCATCACTGTTCAGTAACAGACCACCTTGTCTCCCTGAGCTGCCAGATCTCATGTCTTTGTTTTCCATAGGTAGATTTAATTAAATCAGCAGAACTGGAGCTATAAAGTCTTGCAAACAGTAGGAGTAACTAAAGAGGAAAAAACAAGTGGGGGAAGAGAGTAGAAAATGCACATGGACTCAGAGATTTAATGGCATAAGATCAGCAGATCAGTCCTAATACTGGCATAAGCAAGTGGTACAAAAGAAACCCAGAGAGCTGAATTCGGATGTTGGTGGCAGAGGAAAACATGAGCCATCATTATATAAGTGTTTATAAGTGTCCAATATAAGTGTTTCAGAAATCGGATAGCTTTTTTTTTAATTATTATTTGTTCTTTAAATACAACTTAAAAAACGTTAATTATTTTTTAATCATAATTTTAAAACGTTTTGATTTGAATATAATTACAAAAGATGCTTGCACATGTGCAAGAGTAGCACTGGCCAATATCCATAAGTAAATCCATCCTATCAGCCCAGACTAGAACACTTTGATTTGCTTTCAGCCCTTTTAATTTCCCAGCCCTTCCCTGCATGCTTTCCCAGAAGGGAAGAGCAACCACAGGAATAATAGCTCCAACACCAACTAATTCAGACCTGGGGAGTCACAGATGTAATGGTTGTGAGCCTCTCCTCACTTCCTACTCTCTCCTTTGCTAGTATGCATGTGATGGCTTTTGCACAAACTTCAGTGACTGCACTTGCTGAGAAAAGCTCTGCAGGAATCAAAGAGTTTGTTGCTTTATCAGAACAGCTATTTTGAATTGTATCTGGCAATATATAGAAACCAAAT